GCCGCCGCCGCCGCCGCCGCCGCCGCCGCCACCTGACCTAGATTTTTTTTAAAAGTGTATATTTTGTTAGATTAGGGAAGTTTTATTTTTACTAAGAATTTTGGTCATGGATAAATGTAGCATATCATATTTTTTTCTCACCATTGAGAGTACCACATGGATTTTATCCCTTTTTTATTAATGTGATGAAGTATATTGGTTCCTTCTTTTAAAAAGTGTTTAAACTAGGTATGGTGGCAGATACCTTTAATCCCAGCACTTGGAAGGTAGAGGCAGTCGGGTTTCTGTAAATTATAGGCCAGTCTGTTTTCATAGTGAGTTTCAGGCCAGCTGAGGATACAGAGTGAGATTCTGTCTCAAAAGAAAAAAGGAAAGTTTAAACTGAGCCTAATGGTTCAAGCCTGTAATCCCAGCTTGAACTGGGGGGGCTGAGGCAGGGGATTCTGGGAATTCTGGGAAGCCACCAGTCTCTGCCTCTCATTTCCCAGTAGAAGCTGGGTTATTATAGATGTCTGTGCTATGCAAACATCTAACTGGGATTTTATATGGATTCTGGGAATTCAAACTCAGGCCCTCATGCTGTGTGACAAGTGCTCTTACCCACTGAACCACAGTCCTGCATCAATATTTGTTGTTTTTATTAAAAGTAATAACTCTACTAATAGGTGTGGGGTGGTATCTGTGGTTTTGATTTACATTTCTCAAATGACTAACGTCGTTGAGCATCTCACTAGGTCCTGAGGGGAAGGAGTTGCCTCTAACACTTGGTCCATCTGCAGGTCCTTTCCCTCCTAAATCTCAGCCTCGTTGTCCTCCCTGGCCTTTCTAGCTCATCATTGCCTCCAAACACTTATTTTTAAACATTTTATCCAGACCTTTTCCCCTTTTAGTTCTTCTCAAAGGAATGGTTGATTCATACCACCTGACCCAACCTTAAATGTCTTTTTGTTTAGCTAAGGTTTTACAAAAGAAAGTGGTGTTGATAAAATGTCATTTTTATTTTTATTTTATTGAGACATGATTTCTCTGTGTTGCCCTGGCTGTCCTGGAACTCACTTTGTAGTCCAGGCTGGCCTCAAACTCAAGAGATCTGCCTGCCTCTCTGTCTGCTGAGTGTTGGGGTTAAAGGCATGTGCCACTACCACCCGGCTAAAAAGTAATTTTTAAAGAGCCAATCCTTTATAAAGTTTAAGAATAATATTCTAGAGGTTTCAAAAAAATTCAAATAAAGAACAGCATTGTATTTTACTCAGAGAAAACATTTCTGTGTGGGATGGAGGTGACATGGGGTAGGTAGGTCAAGGAATGGTACAGTTTGTTCTCTGTCTCACAGTATTTCAAGAGAGAACAGTGTGCTTAAAGCACATGGTCCCAGGAGCTGTGCATGTTTCCTTTGCGTCTTCTGCTTAAACACCATCTCAGTATACAGACTGTCTGGAGTGTTCCTCTGATCACCCATAGCATCAGCAGTTCACCAGGAGAACTCACAAGACTTAGCACAACAGCAAAGTGCGCACAAAGAGAAGGAGCTGGAGGAAGGCAGGCTCCAGCGGGCAATTCTCTACTAGTGTAGTTGCACAGGACACATAGAAAGAACTGGTCCTGACACCGTGTGAGACCTGTCAACTTCCTGGGAAGTTCACAGACCTGGTTGTTCAGGGTCACACTGGGAATCAGTCATGTAGGCAATCCAGCCAACATAAGTAACCTCGGGTCCTGAAGTTCTAGACCCCTAGGAGAACTCAGATATTATTTTTTTTTTTTAACTGAAATCTTGGGTCTTATACATGCTAGGCAGGCACTGTACCAACTGAACTACA